GGGCCCTGTCCCTGTCTCATGGCCCACACGATCACACAGCCCGGGGCACTGTCCCCGTCTCACGGCCCACACGATCGGCCCACACGATCACACAGCCCGGGGCACTGTCCCTGTCTCACGGCCCACACGGTCACACAGCCCGGGGCACTGTCCCTGTCTCACGGCCCACACGGTCACACAGCCCGGGGCACTGTCCCTGTCTCACGGCCCACACGGTCACACAGCCCGGGGCACTGTCCCTGTCTCACGGCCCACACGATCACACAGCCCGGGGCACTGTCCCTGTCTCACGGCCCACAAGGTCACACAGCCTGGAGCGCCATCTCCGTCTCATGACCCATGTGGTCACACAGCCTGGGGTCTCTGTCTCATGGCACGTTTGGTCACACAGCCTGGGGCTCTATCCCTGTCTCATGGCACACGCGGTCACACAGATGGCCCAGGGCACTGTCCCCGTCTCACGGCACATGTGGTCACACAGCCCGGGGCACTGTCCCTGTCTCACATCGCGCGCGGTCACACACAGCGGCTCCTGCGGGTGTCTGTAGGTCCGACGAGAGCGTGCTATGTGCCTGTGACCCTGCTGAGAACAGAACAGCCTGCACCAGAGCCTGGGCCTGCACGGGACCTGCAGAGACTGAAATGCCATGAAACGATCCCCCGTGTCCCCATGCCCAGAGCGTGCCCCGTAGAAGTCCTCCAGGCTGTCCTGGGCCCTTCGCTCATAGCTAGAGAAGGGATCGCTGAGAGGCCGCAGTTGGGTATAGGCTTAGTGACCCGGCCGGGAGGCGACGCTGGGTGCAGTGGCCTGCTCTCGGTTAAAGCAGGGCTTTCTAGTTGGTGGCAGCACCGAGAAAAGCATGTCGCTTGGTCAGGAGCTGCCTTTGTGGCACTCCAGGGGACCTTGAGGTCTGCGAAGAGGATTCGGTCTTTGCACTGAGTGAGAGAAGAATTACATGTCTATTTTCCGACTCTAACTGCAGGGTAGCCCTTCACACTCCTGTCTCCCTCAGAGCGAGCAGGCCACCAGGTCCAGGACTCGAATGGCGGTCGGCCTGCGGGAGTCCCACACCTTAAGCTGGCATGCCACCTGCCGGCTGCCCGCTCTCCCCGTGAGTGGACGGTTGAGATCAGCTTGCACGCTGACCGTCTGCCGAAGCGATGGTAGCGAGTTTGCACCCGCCCTGCCCCGCACACAGGCGCCTTTCTGGAAAGAGCTGGCAGCGAGCGGGCGGCTCCTGGCCCAGCGCTGCAGCAGTTTGCTTCCTGGGACTGCACCGAGGTGGGGAGAGGAGAGCTTTTCTGCTCTGTAAAGGAAACTTTTTTAAAACCCAATACATACACGTGTGTGCGCGCACATACATGTTTTTAAGTTGATTTTCCCTGCAGGCGGACGTGAGAGAAAGACGACAGCTGGACAGGGCCTGAGGCCGCAACCCTCCTTGGCCCCGGCTGGCCTGTGGTTGCAAACCCGGAACCTTCCCGGGGCCCTGCTTGGCTGCGTCGTCTCGCTGCTCCAGTCTTCGGCTCCCGCTTCTCTTAGAATGATAACTGGCCGGGGGCCAGCAGTTAGCGTAATGGCTATGTCGCTGGACTCCCACGTGGTCGACCGCGGTTCGTCCCGGACCCGGTGGCTTAAAACTCACGCCGGGCGCGTGTGCGTGCGTGCCCAAGATCCCGAGAGGAGAATGGAGGAGAAGGGACTGCGGCGTGGCCATCCCCCCTGGGCGGTGATTTCTCGCTCTCTGTCTCTCTGTCTCTGTCTGTCTGGCGAGCGCACGCGCCCTATAGCGAAAACCTCTAAAAAGAGAGACTAGAACAAGAATGATAACTGGCTACCACGTTATATTAACGCTGCCCTCGGCGCCTAGTGGCTGTCCATTACAGGCTAAAGTTTTGATTTCCAGGTTCTTGGAGCAGAGCACCACAGCTGGGAGGGTCGGATCTTGTTACTGGGTGTTTAGACTGCATGGCTTTTCTTTCCTGGAAGTTGATCGGCTGAAGAGGACCTGGGACAGCTGATAACAGGTTCCGTGTGTCAGAGAGCTGTGTTCTAGGGGGCGCTCAGGGAGAAGCGATTGCTGAGCACCTGCCCGCGTGCTGGGCGCGTGCTGGTGCCTTGTGACTTGTGCTTAATTCTCAGAACTTGATTGAGGACACGGCGTCCACATCCTCGAGTATGCGCTGCCAGGCCGGGGTGGACAGGCACAGGCGTAGACAGTGGGAGGGCAGCCTCGTGTCTGCGGGCAGCTTCACAGTGTGAGCCCCGCGTGTCCAGAGCCGTTTCAGGAGGGCGTTTGTTTGGAGGGCTGTGGGTTGTGCCAGCATCCCAGCGGTGTGGGGCACAGCCTGGTCCACAGTTCCCACCCCGAGGCTGCTCCCTGCAGCCTAGGCCTGTGCGCCCGCCCTCGGCCACCTTGATGGAAATGACCGAGGGGCCACGTGGGTGCTCGGGGGTGATGAGCACACGGCCCTGCCCTGTGCCTCCTCTCTCTGTCTCCTCGGCGCGTCGTCGG